GGTCCCGTCCCCGCAGCACGAAGCTCTCTGCCATTTTCCCCTCTTCGCTTTTCCAGGGCGGACGCTGCGCCCCGACGCGCGGCAGCGGCAACTCCCGACTTCCAGCTGCCGAGCGGAAAAACGCCAGGAAAAGCGGCCGAAAAAAAAGGGGCTTGTTTTTATCGAGGCGGCGGCGTGCGAGGGCGGGGAAGGACGCGCAGGGTCTCCGCGGTAGCTCTGGGGGTGCCCAGCCCGGAAAACGCCGACGGATTTAGGGACGGGCTTTGGCGGACAGCCTGAAGGCGACGCGCGGAAACGAACTTCACAACTCGCAGGAGTTATAAAGCGGGTTCTTAGGGCGCCGGGCGCGAGGGGGATCGCTCCTCCGAACTCGCACCCCCTTCGGGCGAAGGACGCGCAGGGTCTCCGCGGTAGCTCTGGGGGTGCCCAGCCCGGAAAACGCCGACGGATTTAGGGACGGGCTTTGGCGGACAGCCTGAAGGCGACGCGCGGAAACGAACTTCACAACTCGCAGGAGTTATAAAGCGGGTTCTTAGGGCGCCGGGCGCGAGGGGGATCGCTCCTCCGAACTCGCACCCCCTTCGGGCGAGCAGGCACGTATTCGTTACGCGAAAGCGGACGTACGCGTATGATTGCCCACCGCAAAACACCCACAGGCGCAAGCGAGGCGGAGCGGTCCAAAAGGCCTGCGTCAGCAGTTCGTTATCACCGCGCAGGCTCAGCGCTCTCCCTGGTGGTCGCTTACTTCTTCAGGGGTCTTATCTTCCTCCTCCTCTTCCGTCCTTCAGATGAACTTCAGTCCTTTACGCGTGTTCTCCTCGTACTTGCTGACGCCAACAGTTTTTAACGAGCTCCAGCCGGTTCTGTGATAAGACTAACCCCGCGGTTCCCGTTATCGCTTGCTTTGTTTGGCAAGTCCGTCCTTGACAAATACCAGTCCCCGATAAGCTTAACCCTTAACAGCCACGCCGAGCGCCAGCCGGGGTGAGCGAGTTTTAAAGAAACAAAAGACAATCGCTACGTGGTTTAAAAGCAGACGGTTACGTCTCTGTACCAAAAGAGCGGACGGCTCGGCCGGGGAGCGACGGGAGTCAGCGGATGGCGGACCAACGCGTCACGCCCTTTGGGCAAACTCAAGGAGATAATTAGCAAAAAAACCCCAAAACACAAACCCAAAAAAGTGTATTATTGACCGATCAGCCTACTTTGGAGCGTTTGCGTGGGGCGGTTTGGGTTTTTTTTCCCCCGCTTTTTTTGCAGCCTTTAAGAGCCTCAGCCAGAAGCTCCGACTCGTTTCCCCTTCCACGTTCAACGCCTCGACCCTCTCCCAGACCCCCTCCCCGCCCGGGCACCGGCAAGGCCGGTTCTCCCCGGCGTTATCTCTGCCGGTCGGTGGGGTCTGAGCCCTCCTCGACCCCCGCCGCGCAGCAGGGGCACGGGGGAGGTTCCTCCCCGGGCTGTGAGTTGGGTTGGAAGCTTCTCCCGCATTTCCGGCACTTGCAAAGGCCCCGGTGCACCCTCTGGTGCACCAGGAGGTTGGATTTCCTGCCGAACCTCTTCCCGCAGACCGGGCAGGGGTAGGGCTTCTCCCCGGTGTGGGTCCGCTGGTGGGCGATGAGGTCCGAGCTCTGCCCGAAGCTCTTCCCGCACGCTTCTCCCCGCCCTCGTGCCCCTTGAACGGCTCCCCCCCCGCGTGCAGCCGCTGGTGCCGCGAGAGGCTGGACCTGTTGCTGAAGAACTTCCCGCACTGGGAGCACTGGTAGGGCTTCTCGCCCGTGTGGAAGCGCTGGTGGGCGATCAGGTCCCCGCTCTGGCCGAAGCTCTTCCCGCACTCGCCGCACCCGTAGGGTTTCTCCCCCGTGTGCAGCTGCTCGTGCCGGAGGAGCCCGTACCTCCCCCGGAAGGATTTTTCACACTGGGAGCACTGGTAGGGCTTCTCCTCGGTGTGCGTTCGCTGATGGATGGTGAGCTCCGACCTCTGCCCGAACCGCTTCCCGCACTCGCCGCACTCGTGGGGCTTCTCCCCCGCGTGCATCCTCTGGTGGCGGAAAAGATTGGACCGGTGGCTGAAGCTCTTCCCGCACTCGGGGCACGGGAAGGGTCGCTCCCCCGTGTGTACGATCCGATGGGTGACGAGGTTGGAGCGTTGGCTGAAGCTCTTCCCGCACTCGGGACACGGGAAGGGCTTCTCCCCCGTGTGCACCCTCTCGTG